TGTTTATTGGGGGTGAGGAAACACCCATGCAGTGGGCACAGGAACATAGAGAACGCCCTCCGCAGAGGGTGACTCAAAATTAGCCAGTTTCTTCTGAAAGGCTTGGGGGTCTTAAAGCCCCTGGAGAGTCAGCCAGCTTGAAGAAAGGCAGGATGGTTGATTGGTCCAGAACTGTTGTGACATGTCCTGAGCAGGCCTTGAACTTGTTGAGCCAGACCATCAGCCAAGAGCCTGCTTGTGGGAGATAAAAGCCCACAAGGCCTTTGTTTTAGGTTGCCAGACTTCTATGTCAAGTCAGAGGGTTGAGGGCGAAGCTGGCCATCTTGGATATTCGCCACCTTTATTGCCTAGCAATGACCCATCTCTATCTGTCTCCCTGCCAGGGAGTCTGTCTAACTCCTCGTCTCTCAGGGTCACACAGTGTCCCACAGTGGGAGTGCTCTCCCCCTCGCTCCATCCACATGCCCTACCTTGTCTCCCTCCAAAGATGTCTTCTCCGGCTTTTCCACCTCTTGAGGTGGCATCTCTGTGGTCTTCCTGCACTTAGTCCTGGACACACACTGCCTAGATATGGCTGCACTTCCCCAATGCACTGTGCACATCTTCCTGAAAGTCCCTCTTTGTCTTCTAGACTCTGTCCACACACACTTCAGCAGCCTGTCACCTGCCTTCTGTCCCCGACACTGCTGCCAAGGCCACTAGCTACTCAACTTCCTGACCATCACTGCCAGCAGCCAACTCGTTCTTGCACCTGCTTCCAGGATGGCTTCCCTCCAGGGCCCCATCTTCCTTCAACGGTGACTTCCTGAAGGAGTCCTTGGGCTCTATGCCAGCCATAATCTATCCAACCCTCCCCTCCCCTTGCAATACTTCCAGCCCCATTCTAGATCATCTCCCTCCTGGACCACTGGTCTTTTCTGATGTCAGCTACCCTCAAGATCACAGTGGCTCAAGCTGACATCATCACTTCCTCTTCATCGGGTTCTTTTTAGTCTTACTATTCCCTTGTTCACCCCACATCTACTTCTCCAAGCACCAGCCCCAAATGAACTTCCAGTGTGTATGGCCAACTCTATATGCCCCTCCAGTCCATGCCAAACTTCCTGTCACCTGCCCTCTTCAGAAGCTTCTGCTGCCTGTCTACCTCCATCCTTGCCCTTCTCAATACTCACTGCCCACAGAGTCACGGCTGCCCATTTGCCAGCATAGTGCAAGCTACAGCAGACCTCACATACTGACCTTCACACAGAACCTTGAAGTCTTCCCAGGCTGTCTGTCCATGGATTCTAAGATGTAAGCAAATTCCATCACATGGCTCTCAGCCTCTGACCCCTTCTGGGACCACCCCAAAAAGCCCTTGTGCCCAACAGCCTGGCTCCCACCCAAGGCATGGCAAGTGCTTTCCCCCTCCAGTGTGACCATCTGGAAACCTTGAAGCTCTGTCTGCCTTAGTCTGTGTCTGCAGTCTTCACTCCAGTTACCCCTGCCACCCTCCCTCTGAGTCCCCCGGTCTTTGCTGTCCCTGAGCCACCTGCACATTCGCACCTGCCATCTCCTGCTTTCCTGGCTCTTTGAGGTCCTAGCTCCTTGAAATGGGTCCCTGCGTTATTCATCTTTATGGTTTATGACCCAGTCACTCACACAGTGCCTCAGAGCTCCTCCGTCCTGAGCCGCTAAAGGAAGAAAGAGAAAATCATCCTCATCTTACATTCAAGCAAAAATTGGGAAAGCTGGTCCCACTCCTCAGAGTTCCTCACGCCTATGTCTTCATTCTCTAAGAAAGGTGGCCCCCATTTCTCTAATCTCTCCTCACCATTCAGTTATCGGGGCCACTCTTTTCTCACCAGAAGTCCTGTGGCCACTCAGCCTTCCCATAGGAAGGGCAGGAAAATTAGACACTCATGTTCCCAAGAGCAAAGTGACTGTATTTCATGTGACCTTTCTGATAGAGTGAGAGAAGAGGGAGGACACAGGTGTTTAGAGACCCGGTGGACATAGACAGGAAACTGGAGGAAAGGGAATCATGGGACAAAGCATGGGAGTCATGGGGAGAGTAGAGAGGAATTATGGGAATCTGCTCAAAGTATATTATATACAAACATGAAAATGGCCTCACATAACCATCTATAATGATAATTTTTAAAACTTAAAACCCCTGATGCTTGTTGTACCCAGCCACACAAGTATCCTTTCCCAGCCAGAACATAATGATCTAGAACCCTGATGCCAGTGGTACCCAGCCACACAAGTATCCTTTCCCAGCCAGAACATAATGATCTAGATTAGTGGTTCTCAGACTTCCTAATGCTGTGATCCTTTAACAAAGTTCCTTATGTTGTGGTGACCTACCCCACCATAAAATTATTTTAATTACTACTTCACAGCTGTAATTTTGCTACTGTTATGAATTGGAATGTAAATATCTGTGCTTTCTGGTGGTCTTAGGCCACCTCTGTGAAAGGCTCATTCAACCCCCAAAGGGGTCACAACCTCATATGTTGAGAACCACTGGTCAAGAGCTTCCAATATCATCCCAAGGAAAACTACTGTGCTGTGGGGAAAGGAAGCTGCGTCTGACTCTGGCTCCTCCTTGCCCCATCATGTACCTTCCACAGACCAGAGCATACACACATGGCAGAGTAAACTCTTAAGCACAAGTTTCAGCCGACACCCCCTGATAGTCTCCCTCTGACCGTCCCTTCTCATGGCTTCCCAGCTGGGGCTGGCGTTGTTCAGGTGGAGGTTCCATCCTGCACCGTTCTGTGCCTCTCTCTGAGTCCTCACCACCTCAGTCCTCACCTCACCTTGGTGGATCCCTCGCTGCAGGACTGGAGTGGGATCACTGGCCCTACTCCCTCTAGCTGCAGTGCGTGTGTGACCTTCCCTTGAGACTCAAGAATGTTGAAGCTGGAGAGCCATGAAAGAAGATGCTTTGACATCTCTGGGCAGTGATTTTATTAAATAAAAGACTGTAGATGAGGATGAGAAAAAGCAGAAAGGACGTCCCTTTATCTTGTGGAATGCAGTCACCGAAAGGGTGACAGCTGCCGGGCAGGTGGCCTGGTTGCTGCTGGCCACTCCTCAGATAATTGGTTTGAGTTTTTTTTCAGCCCACTGTCAGGCAGCCTGCAAATCGACACTGGAGCTGGAGGGGGTGGCGTAGAGGTTTCAGGGAACACTGTCAATGAAATGGGCTTGGGATTTGGAGAGAAGGGGGCTGCAGGAGAAGGACCGAGCCAGACACAACATATACAAACTGTTTTAGTCAGTTACTAGCACAGACAGAGGGTGTGTGTGTGTGTGTGTGTGTGTGAGCGAGCGAGAGAGAGAGAGAGAGAGAGAGAGAGAGAGAGAGAGAGAATATACTTATCTACTAACCTAACCATGTGTGTGTGGAGGCCAGAGCTCAATACTAACCGTCTTCTTCAGTCACGGGACACCTTATTTTTTAGGAAAAGGGTCTCTCTCACTGAAGCTGGATCTGGCTGTTTTGGCTGGACCAGTTAGCCAGCAAGCCCCAGGGATCCTTCTGTCCCTTCCTCGCAGCACTGGGGTTGCAGACATTCATCACTATGCTAGCTTTTAACCTGGGTTCTAGGGACTCAACCTCAGGTCCTCATGCTTTCACACCAAGGACCTTATTGACTGAGCCACCTGCCCCTCCCCTTGACTGAATTTTTTTATTCTCTTTTTTGTGCTGACCTCTGACCTGCTTCTGCCATTTTGCAGCTGTATAGCTCAGGTCATCTGACCCTCAGTGTCCTTGTCTGTAAATACGGTGTCGGTAAATGGTTCATACTTTGTGGGGGATCAGGTTGAAGACACTGAAACCCTGGGCAAGCAGGCAGGGCTCAGTGGGTGATGGCCGTGTCGCGTGTGTGCTGGCTCTGACATGTGCAATGCCTGTGCCCATGTCTGACACAGAGCAGTCCTACTGCTGGACGGCCCTAGTTGCATGCCACACCACCTGAGGACTGGGATTTGAAAATAAGACTTGAATTTTCAAACTCTCTGGCCCAGGGTCTAAAAGCCTACTACCTCCCCAAGCATGCTGAATCATCCTACAGTTTGCTGAGTGGCCTAGTGCATTGGGGAACACAGATGCATCTGATACAGGGGTTGGGTTAAGTTCAGTCAACATCTACTTTGTCTTTGAAGGTCCATAATCTACCATTTAGCACATAATGCCAGGGAGACAGACTCTGCCGTCAGGCCCCTAGTGACTTTTCTATCAGCCACTGGACAAATGACTAGGTTTGAAATCATGCCTGCTGCCCGGATGATGTTCCCTCGAGGATGTTTCAAGAAATGTGTAAATAAGAGTTGCTAACTCTGTCTGTGTGCCATAGCTGATGGTGCCATTGTCCACCACAATTTCACACAAAACTCAAAATGTTGCAAAAAAAAAAAAAATCCTTGAACTCTGCTACTAGGGGAGTGCTTTGAAGAAATTGTTAGGTGTGTGGCAATTATCCACGTGCCTTGGTTAAGTCCAGTCCTAACTCTGCCACGAAGCCCCACTCATTCCAGAAAGGCTCAGCGCCACCGTCCTGCAGGGGAGCCTCAGTTACAAAGGCACAGGTGAACACAGACGAACAAACAGCATCACGGGAGCCTGTGATGAAACTGTTTTCTTGTAGCAAGCAAACTTGAATGAACCTGGGAACTGTGAGTAGGCTGTGATTAAAACATGTGGCCCAGTTCCCATTCACTTTCAGCTGAAAACCGGTGGTTTATCACAAACCAAGCTAGGCAGGGGCTCTGGGCATTGATACAGGAATGTGTCCAGGCCTGTGGGGGCAGAGGCCACCCCACGGCCTCACCTCCCAGGCAGGAACTGAGATGCTAAGTGCATGGATGATAGCTGAGATGGGGTTGGGGGACAGACTTCTAGGTGGCCTGCGGGTCTGCCTTCCTTGGAGTGTACTAGGGATGCCACAGGGAAAGAAACCAAACATCCCTAATACATTCACCTCTAGGCCGGCTCTTGTCCCCTGCAGGTGGCTCGCCAGCTTCAGCCTTCTGTGGTGTGGATCCAAGACACGGAGAAAACCTTCTACAAAAAAGTCCCACAGTCTGAGAAGCCGGTGAGTCCTCCTGGTGGCTTCCTTTTCATTCTCTAACTTTTTTCCCCTTCCTCTATGAGGACCCCTCACAAGGAACCGTCTCTACTTTCAAGAAAGTCTTAGCTTTTCAAAGCAGTAAAGGAGACTCAGGGGCTTTAAATCCTTCCACAGTAGGCTCTCTCTGTCCTAAGTGCCTGTCAGTATTTGAAAGAAGCCAGTGCCTTGATTTTTATGAGGCATAATTTGGAAGAAAATGGGGAAAAAGGAAGGAGGGAGGTTTTTCAGCCCAAACATGATTCAGAGCAAAGAAACAATTCAGAGAACTCTGCTCAGTTACAGCCAGGGGCACACACGGAGTTATTATTACGATTTCCTATTGTTCATAATAACAAATAGCAAAGGGCCTGAATTTCTTGAACAAAGGCCATCAACAGCAAAGCTAAGTGCTCTGCATTCGGGGCCTCTGGGGAGCTCAGTCTCAATTGCTTCCTTCCTCCTTTTCTCTCTTTTTCAATGGCCCCCCTCCCCCACACTTCCCTCCACAAATCACCAGCAAATTTCCCACAAGTTAAAAAAAATAACAGATACATGGGCTTGTTATCCCACACCAATTTGTAGCAAAGCAAATAGTGGTTAGCTGTGAATTTCTGATTAAATCCACAAGGATTTTAATCACTTATGTATTATACATCATTTTCAGCAGGTAGAGGTGATTTGGGTAAAGCCCGAAAGCTCCTTCTTTGCTTCTCCAAATGAGCCCTGATTGCCCTGTCATTTCAAAACCTCTTAGGAAGACTCATTTATTTTATTTCATCTGGGAACCTGGTGGTTAGCTCCCCCTGCTGACCATGTCAAGACATTGAGGAAGACAAAAATCTCAGTCCGAGAAACTGAGGCTAGAAATCACCTCGTGATCATCTAAAGGGGAATGCAGGGCTATGTTCAGCCAGGGGTCACATGTATAATGCAATCCGAATGTGGCTTGCTAATGGACATGGCGATCGCTCTCCCACAGGACTTCAGCCTGAGTGTTGTGAAACTCAAGAAGTTGGTTCTGCCATACACCTTAGCTGGCTGTGTGTCTTTCATCAAATAACTTAACCTCTCTTACTCCCTGCTTATTTAACTATCAGCCAGAAGAGCCTCTGACTTCAGGAAATTTCTCTGGCTTCCTCTCCCATGATCCCTTAGCTCTACCAGTCGGCTGTCAGAAATTACAGCAACCTAAGTCCACAGAGAATCTGAAGAATGGCACCTGTTGATGAGAGATCAAAGGCCAGTGGAGGGCTGAGAATGCTTTATGGGATGCTGGTGGCAAGCGGCAAAATGAGATAACCCACGTGGGGAACCAGTGTGCAAGGCAGGAAGCTGGCAGGGATGGAAATGTCGGTGGTACAGACAGACCACCCCTCCAGACCCCACGTCCACCCTTCCACTCTTGTCTCCAGACCCCACAACACCATCCATGGCTGAGTCTGTTCTGTAGGAGACAGATGCTGGGGAGGCACAGGAGGCACTGTGAACCAATCAAACTTTTGCTCTGTCCACATCGGCAAGAAGATCCGTGACTGTCAGGGGAAATCCCCACTCTGAAGATCACAGATCACACCCTGCACAAGTCCCAGAACATATTAGTTACTTTTCTATTGCTGTGATAAACAACATGGCCAAGGCATCTTATAAAAGAAAGCACTGAATTTGGCTTATGATTTCATGGGGTTAGAGTCCACGGTGGCCTACTGAAGGCATGACAGCAGGAACAGCTGGGAGCTTGCATCTTGATCTGAGAGCCGGAGGCAGAGTGTACACTGGGAATGGCATGAGTCTTTTGAAACCTCAAAGCCTGACCCCACTGACACATCCCCTTCAACAGGCCTCACCTCCTAGTCCTCCCAAACAGTCCTACCAACTGGAGATCAATTATTAAGATATTATGAGCTTATAGGAGTCATTGTCATTCAAACCACCACATAAAATATTCCACTGAATCTGAGGAAAACCATTCCTAAGGTGCCTGAACACAAGGCCCAGGGATGGCCCAGCCATCCCAGCAGGAGGTGGGTGCTGTGGGGAAGAACCACATATGTGCATGGCAAGCTCCAAAGAACTTGGGCACAGCAACTTCCAGCCTGACTCAGGGGAGCAGGGCCCCAAAGTTCTCAATGCCTTCCTGCCATGCTGGGTCTGAGCCTGCACTCTTTACCCAAGCTCCGCAGCCACCAGGTCTTGGGAACCCACTGAAGTGGACACCCATGCTCAGAAGGGGGGAACCAAAGCCAGGCCAGAAATTGTTACTGTGGAAAAGAGGACTTGGGACAACATTCTCTGCAGCTTCTGTCCACATGGGACCCAGAGATTCTTTTTGTTTTTTCCCAACATATCCCAGCCTCTATCCCAAAGGATTCTCTGATCTCCAAACTACAAAATGCCTAGAGAAGAAAACATCTACCTAAACCAGGAGGCCAGTTCTGTCTGACCACAGCCACAGTACAAAGAGCAAGGCCACTTGGCTCAGAGTGGCTTCTTGCCATGCTTGGAGATCATATCCATGGTGATGTATCCCCCAGTACCTCTGCCTCGGATTAGGACCCCCACATAGTAAAATTCATGAATGTTGTCCCATTCTGAGCAATGAGGTGGTGGAGAAGGCCTAGCCAGCCAGGAGAAAACTGGAATGTGTAGCCTATGTCAGGATGCCACACTTGTGGGGTATGAAGACAGGTTCTGACAGAGATGTCAGATAGAAGAGGCACAGCAAGCATATCAGGACAACTCCCAGCAGCCCTGAGAGGAGGCCTGGTGGTCTCTCACAAAAAGAAAACAGAGATTCAAGAGAACAAGCTAGGAAGGGGTAATATGAGATTCAGAACCAGGCTAAGTATGGAGGCCATACCTTCAACGTGCCTGGATACCACTCACAGACTAGAAGACCTTTAATGTGAGACTGACTTTCCCTTCTGCTACAGGGCCAGTTCTCTGTTCCATCTGCATCCCATATCTCCCTGGGACCATATCTCTCCTGGGACCTGCTTTGGAAGACCTCTTGTCTTAGGAGCCAAAACGGAGGAACTCTGAAATTGTCCCCCTCCTACTCACCCCTGATCCTCCGTGTCACCCCAGAAACCCTGTCCACATGGGACCCAGAGATTCGTTTTGTTTTTTCCCAACATATCCCAGCCTCTATCCCAAAGGATTCTCTGATCTCCAAACTACAAAATGCCTAGAGAAGAAAACATCTACCTAAACCAGGAGGCCAGTTCTGTCTGACCACAGCCACAGTACAAAGAGCAAGGCCACTTGGCTCAGAGTGGCTTCTTGCCATGCTTGGAGATCATATCCATGGTGATGTATCCCCCAGTACCTCTGCCTCGGATTAGGACCCCCACATAGTAAAATTCATGAATCTTGTCCCATTCTGAGCAATGAGGTGGTGGAGAAGGCCTAGCCAGCCAGGAGAAAACTGGAATGTGTAGCCTATGTCAGGATGCCACACTTGTGGGGTATGAAGACAGGTTCTGACAGAGATGTCAGATAGAAGAGGCACAGCAAGCATATCAGGACAACTCCCAGCAGCCCTGAGAGGAGGCCTGGTGGTCTCTCACAAAAAGAAAACAGAGATTCAAGAGAACAAGCTAGGAAGGGGTAATATGAGATTCAGAACCAGGCTAAGTATGGAGGCCATACCTTCAACGTGCCTGGATACCACTCACAGACTAGAAGACCTTTAATGTGAGACTGACTTTCCCTTCTGCTACAGGGCCAGTTCTCTGTTCCATCTGCATCCCATATCTCCCTGGGACCATATCTCTCCTGGGACCTGCTTTGGAAGACCTCTTGTCTTAGGAGCCAAAACGGAGGAACTCTGAAATTGTCCCCCTCCTACTCACCCCTGATCCTCCGTGTCACCCCAGAAACCCTTGACAAGGCCTCAGAAATGTCAGAAAAATCAAATCCTCTGGGGAGTGGGTTCACCCACGCAGCTTTGAGGAAGCCAGCCCTGCCTTGGCAGACCCTTGCTGGAGCCTGCCCCATGGTATTGCTATAAGCAGACGGTCAGTCGTGTCAGAGACAAAGGTAAAGATTGAGGCAAGGGTCCCTGCTCCTGCATTTTTCTGCACCATTACCCTTTGTTGCTTCATCTAGCCCCAGCCTTCCTTGCCTCCACAATAGGTCTCCACCGGGGAATTGCTTGCTTTGTTGGCGCTGGCTGTGATGCTCGTTTTGTGGAGCTAACTGCAGAAAAGCAAATTGAAATTGCCGTGTGGATGCTAGCCACTAATTTGAAATTGCCCACAGTAATACAGTTGTGAGAGACTGGCAGGCCAGCCGTGGGGGGTGGTGGATGTGGAGGTGGCCAGCTAATCAGGAGACGTTTTCCCGGAATGATTGATGAGCCAGTCTTGTGCTGAATGAACAGCTCTGAAATGGAACTGTACTGGGGAGCCGGGGATCGGATGAACACACCCCTGCTTTCTCATTCCCGAATCGGGAGAATGCACCTCCTCAGTGTGAAGGTGTCACCATGGATGCCACCCAGGATCAACATTTGTCATCCAAATAGGCTACTTAATTTTAGATCTCCCTGCCGTCTCAGGGCATGCAAGTGATGATACCCCGCCTCAGAAAGGGAAGAGTGGGCACTGCCATCACCATAGCAACCTGGCTACTAAGGGTGGATGGGCCCAGCCATGCAGGTGTGTCCCTGTTTGGAGCCTTCTGGAACCCTCAGGTTAGTCATTTCTCCAACAGTCTTTGGATGGCTCACACATGCACCCCTGGAATTCTATCCACCCCTACAAGGCTTGTTTGCCCTACTTGGCTTCTAAAAGGACTAGTCCTCCCCCTCCATCTCTGCTCACCTCTCAGTCCGCCACCATCCCATCTCCACTCCACAGAAAATGCTTTTAAAAAGCACCATGGCACACAAGTAGCACAAGACTTGCTCTGAAAACTACAAAAGCATGGAGAAATTCCAAAGACCTAAATAAACAGCAAGGCATTCGGTATTCTTGGGTTAAAGATTTAATGTTGCTACGATGGAGTCTTAGTTAGGTTTCTAGCTGTGATAAAACACTGACCAAAACCAACTTGGGGATGGAACTGTTTATTACAATCTTATAGATCTGCTAAGGGAAGCTAGGGCAAGACCATGGGACAGGAATTGCAACAGACGCCATGGAGCAATGCTACTCACTGGCTTGGTCCCTAATGTTTTCTCAGTCTTTCTTATATAACTCAGGTCAAACTAACCAGCACAGATGACATCGCCCCAAGAACCACCTACAGGTGCAGGGCAACCCCCATAAACATAGCCGCTGACTCCAACACATACATTTAAAGCTAATCCTAAAGTTTTTGTGGAAACTCAAGAGAGCCAGACAAAATAATAAAGCCCCCCCAATTTTAGTGTGCTAAAAATATACATTTTTCCAAAGAAGACACATGATTGACCACTAAGTTCATGAAAAGATACAGAATATCAGTCACTGGCCAACAGGAGCCATGTGACCAAGGCTGGGCTTGGGCATCTTTGTCCAAGCTCTCTTCCCATGCTTCCTCTTCGTCCTACTGTACCAGTCAGGCTTAACTCTAAAGCAGGCATTGTCCAGGGCAGCAGGGCCAGCTCTGCTTCTCCCTGGGGTCCAGAACAAGCTCATCCACACTCCAGCATCTCCTTCTTGGTGCAGACATGACCCTGAAATGCCTCAGCCTCCAGCTGCCCTCAAGCTGCTTCAGTTGCAGAGCCCTTGGTGACATGATTGCCAGGACCTCGGGTACTCATAGTGTCTTGAGTAGCAAAGGAGAGCTTGAGTCCATCTTCTAGACAGCTCAGAACGAAGTGGGTTCCTCCTGCTAAGAAATGAGCCTTCTGGGTGGCCCCTTGAGGGTCAAAGTCTTGGGTCTTCCACTGGGAACTTCCTTCCTTCTTTCCATCCTTCTTGATTCCAAGCCTGAATGCCAGAGGCCAGAGGCAGGAAATCAGCACAGTAAAAAGTCAGCCAAGCAAAAGGCGCCTCCCAGGGCTCATCCAGGGACACTCTTAGAGAGGCCACAATCAGAACCTCAAAGTCGCCACGCCAAGTGCCTGTCTCCACATATTCTGCTTCATTTTCTCGGCTCTCGGCTCTTTTCTCCATGTGGCCTAATCTTTTTCCCTCCCTCTTCCTCCCAGAATGAACCAAAACGCCTGAAAAAACACCTTCCCAAGATCCTGAAGCTCCTGAGGCCAGATGATCGGATCCTGATTGTGGGGACCACACAGCGCCCTTTCGATGCAGAGCTTCAGTCCTTCTGCAGGGTATACCAAAAGATCATCTTGGTGCCCCGACCTGACTACGCCTCCAGATATGGCAAGTATTCTAAGGCCTTCCGTGTGGCACCTGGCTGGCCACTGGGGTTTGCTTGCAGGCAAGAAGACCTGGAGGGCCATGGGTGGCCTTAGAGCAGTGGCTCTCAACTTTCCTAATGCTGCAACTCATTCATACAGTTCCTCATATTGTGGTGACCCCCCAACCATAAAATTATTTTCATTGCTATTTCATAGCTGTAACATTACCATGGTTACAAATCACAGCATAATACCTGTGTTTTCTGATGGTCTTAGGCGACCCTGTGTAAAGGTCATTTGACTCCCCCATACAACACAGGTTGAGAACCACTGGCTTAGAGGAACTTGGGCACTGCAGGGGCTTCAAAGAGTGTGGCCCTAGCTTTCATAAAATCCATGTCACACACAAAGCAAGGAAGACTCTGGGACCTGTTATATCTCTACCCCTCTAGGGCTTATGTATCACATAGGGCCACAGTGTTCTTCATAGCCAGCCAGACCGGAAGAACAGAGGGAAGGTTGGCTGGTGGGTGTCGCCAGCGGCGGCGGTGTGACAGGAAAGGAGAATATGGAGCATCAAGGAGCCAGGCAGAGATGATGGGGAATGAAGAGGCTGTGCTGTGGGGAGCAGAGAAGACCCTGTAGTAGGGAGGATTCCGCTCCACTCAGGGCTCCCCGCCCCTTCATCTCACTCACTTTTCCTTTATTTCTTTTATTGCATGTATTTTACATCACTTTATTGCAAAGAGATGGGGTGTTCACTTTAAGGGGCTACAGCATGAGGCCTTATTTGGGATTGAGCGGCTTCTCTTGTCTGACAAAAGGGAAGCGATCAACAGACATCACAGGCCATTGCAGTCTGTGACAAAATGCCAGGCATCTCCAAGAACTCAGTCATACTATAGATTCCCCCCTGAATGTTTTCTGGCTTCGTCGTCATGGTGGAGAAGACAGAAAGTAACTCTCCTGGGCCCAGGGCCCATCCACCACGGGCCTGCTCCTCGTACATTTCTTCCCAGGAGTGATTTGTCTGGCCACCATTTTTGCCGTCGTCGTTATAAATACTGTCAGTGTTTCCCTTGGGACCTTAAAGTTTTCACTATCAGTGCCGCAGAACATCTGTCTTAGAGAAGGACCACTCCTGCCTCCGAGGTGATTGCAGTAGTTTCCGCCAGCCCTGCGGGGCAGCTGCAAATCCATGGCTGAGCCACTACTAGGCCATTTATCTACCAGCAGCAAGAGCTCCAGAGGTTTATGAACACACACACACACACACACACACAAAACACCACAGGGCTGAGTGGGGTGGTGTGGACACAGAGAGCTCAGCAGGCCGCTGGGGGAGGGGGGCTTGGAGTAAGGCTTGCTAAACATAACTCAGTGTCTGCCTCGCTCCTGACCCCCAAACCAAGCTGCTGTACTCCCAGGTTGATGAATGCTTCCTGTGGTCCTCAGAAGCCCCCCAAACCGCCCTAATGCTTCACCCTAGCTGTTCTTCCCCCAGGTCTACCTGGCTAATTACACAATTCATCACAGGCCCCGCCCACATTGGATGAATGCAGAGGCAATATCTTCACATTTGTTTGGAACTCAAAGCCTCAGGGGGTCAGATGCTCACCCAAATCATATCACTTAACTCTTTCACCCATGAAGCACAAGATAAAATGAATGTTAAGATACTACGTCATGGCCATCCCAGCCAGGGTCGGGCCAGTTGGAGGCATCAAAAGCAGATGCCCGAGCCCAGATTTTTCCCCTTCTCCACAGAGGATGGGAAACATGGATTAGTCTGTGAGGGGCCTTCCCTTCCAAAAGAGAAAGCCCAGGATGGACCTGGCGTGATGGCCCAGGCAGTGAAATGCTTGCTGACCTGCATGTGGACCTGAGCTTGGACCCCCAGCTCCCACTTTACATGCTGGGCATGGTGGTGCACACCTGTCGTCCCAGCTCTGGGGAGGCAGGGACAAGGGGCTCCCTACCTCTACCGGCCCCCAGCCAGCTTGGTCAAAATCAGTGAACTCTGGGTTCAAACAGAGACTCTGTCTCATGAAATGAGGTGGAGAGAAACTGAGGAAGATACCGGGCATCAACCTCCAGCGTCTGTACGTGAGAGCATGCTCACATACACACACTCATGGACACTCTTGAGTCCTGACAGGGTCCTCATCCCACCCACACTGGCCTCCCCATCTGCACTCCTAGGTCATGCCAGCTGCCTGCCACTCCTGGGCCCACTCTAGAGCTCCTGTCTTGGCTGAGACTTTCTATGCCAGGTTCCATAGGCTCTGAGACAGGGGCTCCAGGAGCACACAATTGTTTCTTCTTCTTCTCCTTCTTCT